TACTAGTAGTGATTTGTAGTAATTTTCTAAATTAAAATTGTATCAAATTAAATTTAATTAGTAAAACTGCAGTTTTATAGATGGTCTTTGTAGTAGTTTATAGACTATGTCCTATTTGGTCCTTAGCTAAATTTGAAGGTCCCCAAAACTGGGCTGAACCAAATTTAAACTTTAACATCTCTACTCACTCACAAAAAATTTTCTAGAATATGATTTTTAGCTAATTAGATTGAAGGATCAGATGTAATATAAAAATCACACATTTTTGTTTTTTTCAAAAAATTACTAATAACTTAAAGTTTTGTCTATGAAATTTCTGCATTCTAACAAAAAAAATTCTATACGAAATTTTGATATAAATTATGCCCTCTCTTGGCCTTAATTCTAACCTTAAAGATGTGGTTTATGGATGATGATTTAAATCTTTTGCTTAATTTGATTTATATCATATCTAATTCATCAATTTAATTGGCTAAAAATTGTGGTCTGGAAATTTTTTTGTGGGTGAGCTATCAACAATACTAACAAAAACCTTTAGCAAAATAGTTATAAAGGATGAGGGTCTTTTAGTCTAAATACTCAGTACAATAAGCACTTCTATTACAATTAATCTGTAACAAACGTAAGAATATGCCTTAATTCTAGTAATTTATTAAATCAAACTTTATAAAGAATTTATTTAGATCTATATAAATTTATATAAATTTAATTTACTTTTTTTTTTATCAGACATACTAAATAAAAATATTAAGCATATAAAAAAATACTTATTTATACTAATATTTATTTCAAAAAACTAATTTAAACAAAAATTCAGAAAATTTTTTTTCATAATTTTATATAACTTTATATAGAAATCATAAAGTTTATATTGGATTTGTAAATTTATATAATTTAAATATATTTTAATTAGGCTTTTATATAAAGTTAGGCTATACAAAATTAATTATAGCTATTCTCATAAATTCTAAAAAATCTTGCAAAAATTAACTGACCGAATATTTGCCAATTTGATAAGTTTTGATTTAGCAGTGATAAACTTTTGATCCAGGATGTAATTGCATTTGAATCAAAAGTTTATTACTGCTGAATCAAATTGACAAATATTTGGTTAGTCAATTTTTGCAGAATTTATAAAAATAGCTATAATTAGTTTTTATAATCTGGCCGAGTCAAAATTTGAAAACTTGTAAAAAATTTTTTTTATATTTTATAGCTATTATCATTATTTCTAGAACATCTTGTAAAAAAATTAACTAAATAATTATTCTGCCAATTTGATAAAAGTTATTGATTTTGGTATAATCAATATAATGTTTATTATTTATAAAGATGATCTAAAGCTTGGTATATATGAAGATGCTAATTAATTTAATTTTTATTTATAGTACAGCAGTGACAATTATTAATTGATAATAACTAGATAACCAATATTAATATAACTCTAGTTAAGTATTATACTTTAGAAGCATATTTACTAGAAAATAGCTAAAAAAAATTTAGAAAAGTTATAAATTTGAACAAAAGCTGTGTTAGCAAATCTTCAATAAGTTGAGTTTTCAACCAATTTTAAAGATATGGATATGTTAAAAGATTTTCACTGCTTGTAAGAAAATCACATCTATTAAATCTAAATAATACAAAATATCTTAAGACTTTAATAGAAAAAAAAGCCAAACTGATTTTTGTATAAAATACAATTTGAAATGGAACTTTAGTTAGAACGTAAAAATAGAGATCATATAAAGCCTTGTAGTTTTACATAAATTTAATTTACAAATCAATTAGTACCTTCATATATACCAAGTTTTAAACTATCTTTGTAAATAATAAATATTATATTAATCATACAAAAAACTAATAATTTATCGAATCAGGAGAATAATCATTTGGTTAATTTTTCATAAGGTGTTTCAAGAATAATAATAATAGCTGTAATAACTGAATGGGTTTTTAAAAAAGTTTTATAAAATTTACATATATGAAATTTAAAAAAAACCAGCTAGTCTATTTAAAAGTTTTATATTATAAAAACCAAGATATTAAATTTATGTAGCTTTATATAAAAAATCTATATAACTTTATATAAAAATGACTTTGTGATATAGTAAGTATGTATGAAGCAATAATATATAGTAATCAAAAGGCTTGAAAATATTGTCAATTAAGATATAAGATAAATAGGGGTAATTTGGTATACTTAAGAATTGCTAATAGTAAATATCTTTTTAAAAAAGTCGAATGTTTACAAAATTTATAGAACTTATACCTTCACTCATATATTTTAATTAAATAAAAAAAAAGACAACTTTTATAATAAAGTGTAAATCATTTTATTATTTGTTTAAACCTATCAAAAAAAGTGAGATTTTAATTTTGGAAGGTAATTTGGTACATCATCTCTATTAATTATTCAACCAAATATCACCTAGCTAACCAAAATATAACTATTACTATTACACAAATGCAATATAATATTACTTACTAATGCTCTTGGGCATTTTATTTTTTTTTTTGTTATTCACTTGTTTTTCTAACTTTTTAACCCATGCTCGGCTTTTTTTTAAGTGGCCACTTTTTTTTTTAAGCAGCCACTTCTTTTTTTTGAGCAGCTACTTCTTTTTTTCATTTAGCTTCCTCAGCTTTCTTTTTTGCCAATTCGTCTGCTTCCTTTAGAGCTTCTAATAATTTATTATTAGTAAGAAGTCAGGTGAATGGTAATGTTTTTCTTTTTTTAGTTGTAGAGTTTCACTAGCCTTAACCTCATTAGCCGATGATAAGTGTGGTGTAGGGTACTTTAGTACTAGTTTTAATAGGAAAGTACCAAAATTCTTAAATATTTCTAGTTCTTCTTGTAGAGCAGTATAATTTCATTTCATTTCTTCTAATTGTTGAATTTATTTTTTAAGATCCTTATTTTCTATTTTTAAAAGTTCTATTTCTCTAGAAATATTAGCACAAGTTAAATATGTGCTATTTGGTTGAGAAGGTATACTATCTAGTAAAGACGGTGGTAATAATGATAATAAAGATAGCAATAAAAATGATATGAATGGGGATAATAGTAATGATGATGATAATTATAATGAAGACGATATCAATGGAGATGATAGTAATAAAGATGATTGTGATAAAGATGATATCAATGAAGATAATGGTGATAAAAATAATTGTAATGAAGATGATGTTGATGATGATTGTAATAAGGATGATGATAATGAAATTAGAAGATCAGATCTTTCAGTTACTAATGAGAGATTAAGATGATTAGCACTAATAGCATTGGGTTGAATAGCCAAATTTTTGTAGTCTTAAATATATTAATAATTATTTCAGGAGTATATATTTTAATAAATGCTGGTCTGAGTATCCTAGCAAAGGTATGCCTTGTTACTACTTCATCACTAATACTATGAAGTTTATCATAATTCTTACTATATTTCTTTTTAAGTTTGGTGAATAGGAGTTCAGCCGGTTGAAGAATGTGAGTAGTGTGTGGCAAAAGTGTATATAAAAGGATATTATTTTTATGGTAGAAATTAATATATATATAATTAATATGGCTTTTGTGTCTGTCAAGAATTAAAAGAGCTAGATAGGCAGATAGAATTGAATTAATAAAATATTCTATATATATTTAAAAATACTTTCTTTCATATATCTAGAGTTAGTAAAGCCTATAATACTACTGGGTGGTGCTCTAGTTAGCAAACCAAAAATTGCATAAATACCTTTATAAATAGATAAAGGTGGTATGTAACTTCTGGTAGCCAAGATGGTTAGAATGACGAAAATGTGCTCATGCATATTGCCATGAGTGATTTTGTGAACTTAACGAGCCCCCTTTTTAGTAAGAACTTTTTAAATTTTGGAAGTAAGAACAAAACCAGTTTCATTCATATTTTATATTTGGTCTGCAGTAAGTGAATTTTCTTTAATAATCTTTTCGAGTTTATCAAAGTGATTTTTTATAATTACAAGGTTAGCCTGTTGTGTTCATATCTCAGATAAAGCTTGAAGTACTCAAAAAGAGAGTTCTAGATATTTTCTCATAAAGTGTGCCTACTAGTCCCTGCCAGGCCCTTTGTTATTAAAAGGATTTTCATGATTAAAACTACATATAATTTCTATTATACAATAGTTTATACCAGATTGTGTTAAATCTAAATTTTGCATATTTAGACAGTAGCCTACAAGTTGTGTTTCTTTGTAGCTACTTAAGACTATAGGATGGCCAGGACGGTTGAGTAAACATTATTTTTGGCTATACATCTTAAAGTTGATTCTGCAACCCTGAATTTTAAAGCTGTTGCATATATATTAGAATATTGAGAACTGGCGAATTCATTAAGAGCAGCTTTAATTGTATTTTTATAAGCAACTTGGTTAAATTTGTTGGGTTTGGATTTTTTAGATTTTAGCGTAACTTTAGTGTTGGTTGCAGTTTAGAGATTGATATTCATTTTGTGTATAAATATTTTGTTATTTAATTTTATTTTTTTGTATGATTTTTTTTTTTAAATAAAACAAATATTCTTATAAAGTTATTTAAATATAATCGTGATCATATATTAAAATTATCAATTACAATTTAATGAAGAAAAATACAAAGACTGATTAACTTTTAGATAATTATGCTTACAATTACAAACAAAAGATAAATAAATTATAGTGTAGTCTATTAAATTAAATTTTTCATACTTTTGTCAGTTACTAGACAATTATTAATTTACTAATACATTTTCTTTTTAGCTTCAATAAGAATTAAAATTCATGTTTAATACAGGGCTAAAACAATATATAGTAAATGCCGACTATTTAATAAGTATCATTTTTGATTCTTTTTTAATGCAGTATTATATACATATATTAAAAATAATCAAATGTTAAATATTTTACTAATAATTTTTAGATATCAAGAAAGATATTTAAACAATAAGAAATAGCACAGTAAATAGCAGGCATTTACTATATATTATTTTAGCCTGCTTTAGTAGCTTTTATGTAGCTTTACGTGATGCTATGCATATAAAGATAGACAATAGTATTTTGTTCTTATTGAATTTTAAGTATTATTATTTTTATTAACCTAATATAATATGTATATATGTATGTACAAGATTTAGTTATAAAATTAATAACTATCATCTTTTAAATCAAGTCGTTAACCAATTTTAATAGTTGAATAATCTATCCGCATCAATAATAACTTTGTTTTCAACGATTCTACTAGAAAAAAGTTTGAAAATAATAGAAAGTAAGTACTATTAAATTTATAATTGTATGCAATCATGACCATTACTGTCCATAAATTTTATAGTATATTTATTATCATATTTTTTTTTTTTATTCTAATAAGTTTCACGATCAACAATTGATGAATAATTTATATAAACAACATTAAAGATACAATTCACTATTTTGTTACAATTTAATCTGACAAATAGTCAGATTGTATTTTTTTAAACATCTGTTGTATATACTTTTTTTGTTATCTATTAATACTTTTCATTCAACAAGATGCTGCTTAGACGAAATCATAAAAAAAAACCTTAATAGGCAATACATCAAACAACACTTTATACAACAACCCATTACAAGACATGAAGATACAAAAAAGGTGATCTATTAGCCAATACCTATTACAGAATATGAAGATACAGAAAAGGTGATCCATTATCAAATATTCACCTCAATAAATAAAGATACAGAAAAGGTGACCTATTATCAAATACCCAAATTAGCAAGAGTTAAAGCACTATTTGAGAAAGACCAACTTATTAAAAAAGAATAAAGAATTGCTATATACTACTTGGGTAAATATTATATCAAGAAGTTTTAAAAATATTTAATAAATATTAACTAATGCATAATATTAGTTAATACTTAAAAGTATTAAAAAATAAACACTTCATAAATTAACGCATTAAAAAATTAGTATAACAATATATTAAACAACAAATTTTGTTAATTAACATGTTTTAAAACTGCATAATTTAATGTTAAACAACAAAATTTTTATTAACTAATGTGTTTTAAAACCACATTATTTAATGCTAAACAATTTTATTAATTAACATATTTCAAAACAGTATTTTTTTTTTAAGTTAAACAACAAAATATAGTTAACTAACACTATTTAAAAACTTAAAATTATATAGTAAAAAACTTTTGACAACTTATTAATTGAAAAACTAATGTATTTATTTGCTAATATTGTTAAAAGCATATAATAAACACAATATTGCTAGCTAATAAAAATGTAATAAACACAATATTGCTAGCTAATAAGAAAAAAACTAAAAGCATTTTATTACAATCGCTATCAATTTTTTGCACAAAAGACTTCTCCGTATTTATATTCGCATTTTAAAGAAAAAGCTTTTAAAATATATATTAAATTATAGAAAATTAGTATAATATTTTAAATAAAATAATGTTAGCTTTTAAAGAAGCTATTCGTCGATTAACAACTTTGAAAAATGTACTACCATTGTTTTTTTTAAGGACTGGGGTCATAATTATTATCACTATCATTGTCTTTAATACCATTATCGCTTAAATGGCTTTCAGAGTCAGAGTCAGGCAAGTTTTCGTAAAGATCATCAACATCCATTGAATCTAAAGATCCAACTTGTGAGTTTGCAGAAGAGGCGCAAGCATCTTTTTTATTCTAAAAAAATAACATTAAAATAAAATAAATATAAAAAAAATAATTAAAATGAATATACCGTATCATTTGCTTTCTTTAAAAGTTTTTGGTACCATGTATCAACAATGTCAGAGTCAAGTTTCGCCAAAAGATAATTTTCATCAAAAATAAGTTTAAGAACAGCCTGTGTCCAAATAGCATTAGCATGGGTACGTTCATCTTCAGATATAAAAGCATTTTTGATGATTAAAGCAAGAAAAGTATCTGAATTTAGATCATTTAGATCACATAAATTGTATAATTCTTCATAAACTTTCTTGAAGTCCTCTTTTTACCTTTTCATTTGTTCTTTAGTATCATGTTCATTAAATAGTTTTATCTTACTAATATCAAAGGTACCCCAGAGATCTTCTTTAATTCGACAAACGTAGTACTCTTTCTTAACATGATTTGCTAATAGTATCTATAAACAAAGTTAGTATGCAAATTTAAGGTAGTCTGACAATTATTTCTTTTATAGGTCATTTACCCAATATTATATATATAATAATAAAGGTAGTGATAATGTTTAAGTAAATTGCAGAAATTGTAGTTAAAAACTCTTTCCAATGATCCCTCAAAAATTGGAAAATAACAAAATAAAAGAAAGCTACAATAAGAAGAACCTAAATAAAGCCAGAACATAGACAAAATTAGCACAAAATGTAAGAGAACAACCAACACAACAACCAACACT